TAATGTTTTCAAGTTATTTGAAAAAGATCTCACACATCGCGCCCGATGTAGATTTTGCAATTGCTGTAGAAACCGTTTGCATGCACAGAAACATCTGCCGCTGCATTTACACACTATATAGACAATGCCCTTTCATTCTGGAATAAAAAATCGTGTTTGGAAAATTTTCATTTTTTCGAAAACATGATCACGCCAAAATGTTTTTATTCTCACCTGTTTTACAAAAATGTAGCCAACAAGTGGTAACATTGTTTTACATCGTTTGCATGCCCAGGACAACTTGCCGATGCATTTATACACTTAATAGACCATGGCCTTTTAATCTGGAGTAAGAAAATCGCTTTTGAGAATTTTCATTTTTTTCGAAAAAACGGTCATGCCGAAAAATTGGGGTAATTGCCCGGTGACTAAAAACGTACTCAGCAAGTGGTGACAACGTTTAACATCGTTTGCAAGTAGAAGCAGCCTTCTATTTTCATTGGTTTGAGACATATGAGGTTGGAACGATTTACTACCTAAAAAACGGCCGTTTTCAGACTCCGCACAGCTGTTGCGTTACGCCTGTTTTGACGCAGAATTGCGGATACGTGCCATGGTGCGACATAAACTCTCCAGGGCCGATAGATTTTCAGTTAGGTACAACCAGGGTGAAATTTTGTTGAAAAATGGTCATCTCGTGCAAAAAGCATCAACCGGCACAGAACATGCATTCGTTTTCTACTCGTGCCGAATTTCCTATTGGCCCTCGTTTGAGACGAAAAAACAGCCGTTTCTGACTTTTGACTTTTTTCGCGACAAAGTGGCCGCGGCGAGATTTGTGTTCACTTGCATGTTGACAACAACGCCACTGAATGTTTGTCCCACCATTGTGTATCGTTTGTACTGGCAATCTGCTTTAAGCGAAGCGGGTCTCAGAAAGAAAACCATGGAAATTTGCGAGCATCAAGAATGCTATATGTTTCCGGTGGTGCAATCATGGTTTCTTATAGGTCATTCGACGCGTAATCGCACGGTGAACACAATGGTGTAACTTAGAAAAAACGCATGTATAGTTTCTAACGTCTTTGAAAAAAAGTCACTGATAAACGGCGCTCGATGTAGATTTTGCAATTGCTGCATTAACTGTTTACATGCGCAAAACTCTTTCCGCTGCCATTACACACTAAATGGACCATGCCCTTTTTTCTGGAATGAAAAATTCGCGTTTGGAAAATTTTCATATTTTTCGAATAAATGGTCATGCCCGATATTTTTCGTGATAACCTGTTTTAAGAAATGAAGTCAACAAGTGGGAACATCGTTTTACATCGTTTGCAAGTTAAAGGAGGCTTTTTTCATTGGTTCGAAAGATATGAGTTTGGAACGTTTTACTTCCCAGCAAACAGCCGTTTTCAGCTTCGGGACAGGTGTTGTGTTACACCTGTTTTTACGCAAAATTGCCTTCCCGTGCTATGGTGTGACATAATCTGTCCAGTGCCGATAGGGTTCCATTTAGGCACAACCAACGTGAACTTTTGTTGAAAAATGGCCATCTCGTGAAAAACGCGTCAAGCGGCATAGAACATGCATCCGCTTTGCACTCGTGCTGAGTTTGCTGTTGGCCCTCATTTGGGACGAAAAAACGTCCGTTTCTGAATTTTGACCGTTTTCAGAACAAAGTGGCCGCGGCAAGATTTGTGTTCACTTGGATGTTGACGACAACGCCGCTGAATGTTTGTCCCACCATTGAGTATTGTTTGCAACGGCCATCTGCTTTCAAACGGAGGGGGTCTCAGAAATAAAACCATGGAACTTTGCGCGCATCAGGAATGCTGTATGTTTCCAGTGGTGCAATCATGTTTTTTATAAGTCTTTCGACGCGTTATCTCACAGTGAACACGATGGTGTAACTTAGAAAAATAACGCATGCAGTTTTTGAGATATTTGAAAAGAAACACTCACACACCGCGTTCGATGTAGATTTTGCAATTGCTGTAGAAACCGTTTGCATGCACAGAAACACTTGCCGCTGCATCTATGCCCTACAGGGACCATGTCTTTTCAATCCGGGATGAAACATTCCTGTTTGGAAAATTTCATTTTTTTCGAAAAATGGTCATCCAAAATTTTTGGTCATCACCCGGTGAGCAGAAATGTAGTCAACAAGTCGTAACATCGTTTGACATTGTTTGCAAGTAAAAGCAGCCTTATTTTTTTTCGTTGGAGAGATATGAGTTTGGGACGTTTTACTACCAGACAAACGGCCGTTCTCAAACTCCGTACAGGTGTTGCGTTACACCTGTTTTGACGCAGGATTGCCTTCACCAGGCGCCCCAAGCGGAGACCCGCGAGGAGCACCCAACCGCAACGCGAGCGACAAGCCGCTAGACCCGTGTGGGGCGACACGGGCCCCCAAGCCCCCGGATATCCTGGCCAAAGTGGAGTGTTGGGGCGCGCCGTGACTGACCTGCACGGCGTGCCGCTCAGCCACCAGGATCCGATCAACCCGGGGACGTGGGCGAGGGAGCACGGCGACCCCGATAAAACGAGGATGTGCAGTGGTGATTGGGCCGGATGCGGGAGTTCGGTAAATGTGGAGGGGGCGGGCGGGACAAGGAGCGTGAGCTCATGTACCGGTATGGTCGCTACGCCCTGAGAGGAACAGCGTGCGCTGTCCATCCGTTGCCGGAGCTGGCACCCGAGGGGGCGCTAGTTCCCTACACCGACCGAAGCCGTTGACCCTGCGGGGGAGTGGAGCCGTCCATGAGGTCCGTTTATTATAAACCTAGACCACGGATGATCGCGTGAATCAATTGCTCTATGTGCGTGGCTTCCGCCTACCAGATTTCTGAAGAAGTATACAGATGGCCGCCGTGTTGATATATACATACATATATATATAGATATATAGATAGATAGAGAGAGATATATATATATATTATATTATATATATATGTATATATATACATATAGATAGATAGATAGATAGATAGATAGATAGATAGAGAGAGAGAGAGAGAGAGAGAGAGAGAGAGAGAGAGAGAGAGAGAGAGAGAGAGAGAGAGAGAGAGAGAGAGAGAGAGAGAGAGGAGAGAGAGAGAGAGAGAGAGAGAGAGAGAGAGAGAGAGAGAGAGAGAGAGAGAGAGAGAGAGAGAGAGAGAGAGAGAGAGAGAGAGAGAGAGAGAGAGAGAGAGAGAGAGAGAGAGAGAGAGAGAGAGAGAGAGAGAGAGAGGAGAGAGAGAGAGAGAGAGAGAGAGAGAGAGAGAGAGAGAGAGAGAGAGAGAGAGAGAGAGAGAGAGAGAGAGAGAGAGAGAGAGAGAGAGAGAGAGAGAGAGAGAGAGAGAGAGAGAGAGAGAGAGAGAGAGAGAGAGAGAGAGAGAGAGAGAGAGAGAGAGAGAGAGAGAGAGAGAGAGAGAGAGAGAGAGAGAGAGAGAGAGAGAGAGAGAGAGAGAGAGAGAGAGAGAGAGAGAGAGAGAGAGAGAGAGAGAGAGAGAGAGAGAGAGAGAGAGAGAGAGAGAGAGAGAGAGAGAGAGAGAGAGAGAGAGAGAGAGAGAGAGAGAGAGAGAGAGAGAGAGAGAGAGAAGAGAGAGAGAGAGAGAGAGAGAGAGAGAGAGAGAGAGAGAAGAGAGAGAGAGAGAGGAGAGAGAGAGAGAGAGAGAGAGAGAGAGAGAGAGAGAGAGAGAGAGAGAGAGAGAGAGAGAGAGAGAGAGAGAGAGAGGAGAGAGAGAGAGAGAAGAGAGAGAGAGAGAGAGAGAGAGAGAGAGAGAGAGAGAGAGAGAGAGAGAGAGAGAGAGAGAGAGAGAGAGAGAGAGAGAGAGAGAGAGAGAGAGAGAGAGAGAGAGGAGAGAGAGAGGAGAGAGAGGGAAGAGAGAGAGAGAGAGGAGAGAGAGAGAGAGAGAGAGAGAGAGAGAGAGAGAGAGAAGAGAGAGAGAGAGAGAGAGAGAGAGAGAGAGAGAGAGAGAGATAAGAGAGATATATTAGATATATATATATATATATATATATAATATATATATATATATATATATCTGTATATGTATATACATAAAGATATATATATCTCTCTCTCTATCTATCTATCTATCTATCTATCTATCTATATCCATATCTATATCTATATTTGTCCCCTCCGTGCCCGACGTTCCATTACACTGCGCGAGGCTCTTGCCCAACACACTGCAGAAACTAAGTGCGGATTGGCGCCGTGTCCGGTGTTCGACAGCTCTGTACGCACGACTCTTGCCAACAGATTGAATCACGGATTGGCTCCGTACCCTGTGTTTGATTGCTCTTTGCGCGTGACCCTTGCGTGACAGATGTCAGAAACTCATGACAGATTGTCTCTGTGCCCTGTGCTCGATTGCTCCGTGCGCGTGACTTTTGCCTAACAGACTTCAGAAACTTACTACGGATCGGCTCCGTGTCCGGTGCTCAAATGCTAAGTGAGCTTGACTCTCGCCTACCAGAATTCAGAAAATAAGTACGGATGAACTTCTACATAGTCTTAAATATAGTCACGGGTTGAAACCAAACACGTTGCCGTTGAAAAACAAACCATTTTAGCACGGGCGAGGTCAGAAGTGACGAAGTTGAGCAGGGTAGCGTATCACCACGATGCATATCATCTCACCGCAACACCAAATGCAATGCACATATTCTAAACTGTTAAAGTGACTTCAAAATGTCCCCTAAATAATGCAGATCGTTTTACGGTTTGTCAATCTGAGGGTAGACTCCTTGTCACTGCTATCATTTATCATGCTTTCAACTGTCAAACTTTTCCGGGGAAAGTGTTTGGCATGCCTTTTGCTTCAAACTTCTTCGCGAGCCCGCCACTGTAAGGAAGTACAAAGGCAAGCTAAATATACATGTATTTTACCAACATTGCACTATCACGTGGCAGCCTGACCCCGGCACCAGTCGGTCCGGCCCTGTGGTGACGTTAAACCAACATACTTTGCTTGTCATCCGTCACATGAATACCAGTATCCGTGCGGGCTGATTGGGCGGCCACGGCCCCTTCAGCGATGGCCCCGCGGCCAGCCGGCCAGCCAGCCAAGGTCAGCGAGTTCGGCGGTCGCCGGGCCAGCGCCGCCGCGGCAGGCCGCCAGGTGGCAGCGCAGGCGCCGCTTGGTGGAGAGCACCAGGCCACAGCGCGGACACGTGGTCTCGCCACGGTGCACGGCCGCGTGGTGAGAGAGGTTGGACGCGTCGCGGAACCGTTTGTGGCAGAGCGGGCAGGCGAACCCCACCTCGTCCGGCGGTGGCGGAGGCGGCGGCATCAGCAGTACTGCCGAAGGACGGCGCGGCGTCACAACGGGCGACGCATTGTGACGCCGCGGCAACGGGTCAGTCAACATTGTACAGCTGCACAGCTGATACCGTACACTGACACAAACGTTGCGGCACAGCGGCGTGCAAGGAACAGTGCAGCGTCACAAGGAGAACGGCACACCGTCGAAACGAGCAATGCACGGGAACAAACGGATACAGGGACGCGGCAGGACGGGTACTAGAGACGGCGCATGCGGTCACCCCTGAATATATATTGCCATGCGTAACTGTTGGCGACCAGCGAGCTCGGTGTAAGTGTATTCCATATCAAGGCTGCATGGACGGTGGCAGCCAGTATATTGGAAGACTGAACTGGAATGATGTCGGGCAAATTTTGCTCTACAGTGGCAAATAATTTTGATGTCCCGCGCGGCATAAACTGCCCACAGATTTTGTGGGCTAATCGTCCTGACCGTAGTACTTAGTAAATTGCCATCGTTCGATTGATATTCAAGATCATGCTATCTTTGGTAAGACTTCGCCAATCTTTGACTCTTGATGATGATTTGGGGTTTTAGGGTGCTTCGACTGCTGTAGGTCATGCAGCGCCCATAACTATCAATACATGCAGAGGCGTCAATCGGAAAAGTGCATCAATTAGCTCACCCTATATAGCCTTGATGATCAGCCCTAGCATCATGATGGAAAGATTACTGGGGAATCTATAGCGCGAAGAAACTGGAGCACTTTACCAAACTCCACGGCGTTCGAAGGATCCCCTAAAAAGTCACATAGCGTGCGACTCTGGGCGTGGTGTCCGAAAAACTGCGCTCTCGTTGCAGTAAGGTGGTGGCAAGCGACCAGTACGTGATGCACGGTCGGCGGGTCACAGCATCGAATGCAGCATGGTCTGTCGCCAGCCAATAGCAGGCGACGGTGCGTAGCATATGTGTTGTTGTTGTTGATTGGAGTTTTAGAGCGCGTCGACTACTGCGGTCATTTTGCGCCCATAACAGCCAAATGACTAGCTTCGGAGTGTGACTATGAAATGACTAAAAAATATGTATTATTCAGAACTATAAACGGCTGAGTTGTATCAGGAACGCGTCATTGATACGAAACTTTTGGCAGCCTAAAAACTTCCCACACGCGGTATAAACTATTCAGGCAGGTGTATATAAAGTGCAGAACTTAACATGCGATACAAACCTGAGGGTATGTTCGATATATGGTGACCTGTCACATAGTAAATCGGAGAGCGTCAGGGACGGTGCCGCAGGGCCAAAGTACCTCAGACGCTCGACGCGTAGTGTGGGGCAGCATACGAGCACATGTTCCACTGTGAGCGTGGTGTTGCAGTGGCGACATCGTGGTAGTTCGTCGTGACATAGTAAGTGTCGATGTGTAGCATAAGTATGGCCAATCCGCAAGCGACACAGGGTTACTTCCTCCCGTCTGGACTTTCGATTGGATGACTACCATTCCTGAACAATCGGCTTAATGCTCTTCAGTTTGCTAGTGCCCATCACATCCTATGCGCACTGCCATTCCTCGCGAAAAAGGCAGAGATGGCCGAGCACAGGTCTGTAGCGGGAATCGGAAACACTCTGCGACAGGGACGACGAGTAACACGCTTTGCGGCGGAGTCAGCCAGCTCATTTCCCGCAATGCCAACGTGGCTCGGGATCCAGCAAAGTACTACGGTCTTGCCAGCCCGGTACAGAGAGTCGAGACGCAGTAAAATATCCTGTATAAGGGGATTTACAGGATTAAAACCCCTTAATGCCGAAAGGGCACTTAGGGAATCCGATAAAATCACGTGCAGACTGTCTTCGCCCATCTCTATAAAACAAAGCGCCTTAATGATGGCCACAAGCTCTGCAGTATACACGGACGCATGGGCTGGCAGTGTAAATGATCGCGTATCGGGACCACACACAAAAGCGGAACCAACACCCGTATCCGTTTTCGAGCCGTCTGTATACGTAATTGTGAACCCCCGATATGTTTCGATATGCTTCAGAGCTGTTGATCTGGCAAAGTACGGAATCATATTTTGCTTCCGAACCCCCGACAATGAGACGTCGACAGTTGGCGATACCATCACCCACGGAACGGTCGGCAGGCTACGTGGGCGTGCCACACCCCGAAAACTTAAGCCACTCTCATGAAGAACATTACGAACACGCACACAGAAAGGCACCACACGTGTTGCTTGTCCGGACTGAAAAACATGGGATATATGGCGTGAGAACACGGCGTCATGTGTTGGGTGGTTCGGGAATTGCGCGAGCTTACAAGAGTACCGCATTCCCAACAACTGTCTTCGGGTAGCCAGCGAAGGTTCGTTGGCTTCCACAAGCAAGCTGGCTGTCGGAGACGTACGAAATGCACCAGTAATGATTCTCAACGCAGCATGATGGCCCGCATTCAAGATGCGTTTTACGGACTCAGAGGCGCCATCATATACAACACACACATAGTCCAGCTTGGAGCGTATCAGTGAACGGTATAACAACAAAAGTGCTTTCCGATCTGCTCCGTACGATGTTCGTGCCACACATTTCAGTATGTTCAGTGTCTTAAAACACTTGCCACGCAGAGTGGTAAGATGCTCCCTGTAGGTCAACCGCTTATCAAAATGTAATCCCAAAAACCATGCCGCCATATTGCAGGGGATCGACTGTCCATAAAGCTTAAGCACCATGTCGGGACACTGACGCCGGCGTCGACAAAAGTGGACGGAAACTGTCTTCGAGGTCGAAAACCGTAGCCCGTTGAGCATGTTCCATCCTTCCAAGCGAGCCACAGCCAACTGCAACTGACGCGACATGGACGCTGCTGTGGCAGAGCTGCACCAGATGGCGAGGTCATCAACAAAAAGCGAGCGACCAATCGCCTGGGGAAGACTGTCCCCAACATCATTTATCATGACGGCAAACAACGCAACACTTAGTACACTGCCCTGGGGTATGCCGTTCTCTTGTGTGTATCTTTTCGAGCATACGGAACCGACACGGACGCGGAAGAAACGGTCAGCAAGAAAGCTCGCGAGAAAGGTAAGCATAGCTCCGCGTATGCCATACGGTTTTTCCTGAAACCACACTGCGCGTTCGAGAAGATATTGTTGCTTTCTAAAAACCAAGACAACCGTGTCTGAACCATCCGCTCCAGGAGTTTGCACATAGACGAGATCAGCGCAACTGGACGGTAGTCTGATGGATTTCTCCCATTCTTGCCAGGTTTCAGCAACGGAACTATGAGCGACTCCTGCCAAGAGGTGGGGAATTCTCCTGCCTCCCACAACTGGTTGAATGCCACCAACATAGCTTGTGTTGCTGTTAGTGGAAATCGCCGGAGCATATCATTATGAATTAAATCCGGGCCTTCTGCCACGCTGCGCAGAGAGCTAATGGCAGACATCAGTTCAAACATTGTGAAAGGTTCGTTATATGAAAACTCTTCGTCTGTATGAAAGTTTATCTGGGCTGCTTCGCAACGAGCACGATGGCGTATGAAATCAGGAGCGGCAGCTGTCCGCCCACAACGCTCCGCGAACGCACGAGCCATTTCGTTCGCCACCTTAGAGGGGTCCAGTATGTCCTGGCCATTCATATGAAGTACGGGGTGCGGCACTGCGGAGTGTTGGCCTGCTAAACGCTTCACCCGCGCCCAAACCACCGAAGTCGGCGTTTGGCAATTTAGCTGGCCCACATATAAACGCCAAGACGTACGCTTGGCTTCCAAGATAGTACGTCGGGCTGCCGCCCGAGCTCGTCGAAAAGCGATTAGGTTGTCCGTAGTGCTGTGTCGATCGAAGTCTCGCAGGGCTTTTTTCCGCGCACGTATAGCGTCGCGGGACTGGTCCGTCCACCACGGAACAGGGGGACGACGTGGGGCACCGGATGTACGTGGAATGCTTTCTTGTGCCGATCGTAAGATTGTGGAGGTGAGTTCTTCTATCGATGCAGGCACATCTGCCGAAACGGAAGCCAGCCCAGTTTCCGCCCGTGCCTGAAATTCATCCCAGTCAGCCTTTCTAAGATTCCACCGTTGTGGCCTGGAACCGAGAGCTGCTCCGTTCTGGTAGCGCAGCCAGATGGGGTAATGATCGCTGCCGAAGGCGTCGTTGTCAACGGACCATGTCAGGCGTACCGCCAGCTGTGGGCTTGAAAGACTCAAGTCCAGCGCCGATGTCTGGCCTGACGGCAGCGTCATGTGAGTTCGGGTCCCGGTGTTTAAAAGACAGAGTGATTCATTACGTAAAAAAGATTCGCAATGCCTGCCGCGAGTGTTGGTCTGGGCGCAACCCCAAGATGTGTGGTGAGAATTAAAGTCACCCAGCAAAAGAAGAGGCGGGGGAAGCTTGGTCACCAGAAATCTCATTCCTGCCGTCGGAAATGGAATACCAGGCGGTAAGTACAGCGAGCAGACGGTTATTGCACGACGCCCGAAAAAGTATCTTAGCTGCAACAACTTGCAGGACAGAGTGCAAGACAACGCGCTGGACAAAGACACTGTGGTGCACAGCCAAAAGAACTCCGCCACGTGCAATTAGATCAGCTGGCGTATCCCGACGCATTACGGTGTAGCTCGGGATAGTAAAATGAGAGCCAGGTGCCAGTTTGGTCTCCTGCAGGCAGGCGATGGCGGGACAGCGTTCATTCAGAATGATTCTGAGATCGTGTAGACTAGTTCTCACGCCCCTGCAGTTCCACTGTTAGATACTTGTCATAAAGCTAAGAAGTGAGGGTAGCCATTACACACCTAGCTCACCAGCACAGCGCGCAGAATATCACAGTCAATAAGCCTGCACGGGGGCGCAGTAAAAATGGGTCAAAGTCACTCTTTAAGACGCGACACGGTTCAAAAGAACTGGGCTGCGCCCGTTGCAGGACTGGACACCTCGGTCTGGCAGGTACGGCTCGATTCCGCAGGGGCGGTGCTCCACTCTGGGCCGAATCCTTGGGCTCCCTCCGTCGGATGGAGACGGAGGACCGGCTGGGAGGCGCTTTA